CTAAAGAGATAAGATCTTCTCTTATAGTAGGGATCTAATAGAAGTTAGTAATGGCCCTCTAGATTTCTAGTCTTAGTTTTAAAAAAAGGTGTTACACCCTTTATTCTTTAGTATAGGGTGTGAGTTAATCCTTAAGGACATTAAGGTAGGTCGTAAAGGAACGAACTATCTAGTCCTTTTACTAGATGGCCTAAGCATACGCTATAGCTACTTCTAAGCTATAGTTTATTAGATTAGAAAGTAAGTCAAGTATATACTACTTAAAGTACTTCTAGGTAGGGGTTTCTTCCTCTATTTTAAAGGTGCACTTATAATGTGTGTACCATAGCTCCCTAGGGTCGCCTCCTAAGTACTACATTACCTAGATAACCTTATCCTCGTCTAATTAGAATTCCTATAGGAGGAGGCGAAACGCTACCTCACACAAATGAAAGAATTCGCGATATTCCTTCAGATTCCTCCCTTTATATTTGGCTGGGTCCTTTAGTTTTAGCGTACGCTTCCTACGCGCTATCTAGAGTAGGCTAGGTACGTTACGCTTACGCGTATTAGTAACCTAGACTTTAACTTCCTCGGCAAGGGTAGTTAGGCTAGGGGTTTAGTTTAGATGCTTGAGTTATGCAATTTCAGCCTCTAGAATATAGAGTTACTATAGGGCGCGAAGTTCGTCGCGTTTCTTTTCTACAGCTAGGATACGCTCTTCTAGTAATAGGGGAGGGCTAGAGTTGCGCATTAATTGCTCCTCCTCTCTATATTCGATGAGAGGGTCTCCGCTTTCTAGGAGGGTTAGGGGTGAGGCCTACCCCTTACTGGCTATTTAAGTTGTCCTTGGAGCCATCCTCAGACTATCAGAGGTGAAGTATTATTATGTAAGGTCTAGCTATAGGTAATAGTATTTACTTCACGCTAGGATTAATAGTAAAAGGATGGCTTAATGGCATTAAGTGAATAATACTTAACTTCCCTAAAGCCGGTGTGCGGCGTGGGGTATATATAGCCGACTCGCTTAGTACGCTAGGACTCTATTAGGCCTTAGCGCCATATGCCATAATACTATAACGAACTTCGCGATCTGCTCGTTACAGTTAGGTACGTGGAGACCCCTTATAACACT